GAATATACTAATAGTGCGTATGTGTAAACGACGTGGAGAACAGTCATAGGCACGGATCAATGAGGGGATGAAATCAAGGTTACACGGTCAAAGGGAAGGCAATGGACAATAGGATAGTGGTGCTGTGTGTGTGTGTGTGTGAAGAGTGTGAATATGGGCAGAATTTATTCTACACCTGTCTTGTGGCCTTTTTCCTCTCGTCTCGATCCTGCGGGTTAGTGCGAGTTCGAGCCATTGCGTCTAGTGCCACCGGATTTCTATCGTGTTCCGTGATTCCTATTGCGTAGTTCGTGTCCTGAATTCTGTGCGTAACTTCACTACTACTACCGTATCACCACGGGATTGAAACCTCGATCCCTGGGTCCCAAAGCAGCGATCCAAACCGCTCGACCACTACGGGTGTTTTCCTTTGTTTTTAATTCAATTCACACAGTTTCAGTCAATCTCTCTGGCATGTAATGAGCATCATTCTATGGACGACCCATTGTACTAAAGAAACTTATCCGCGGTGAACGGTTGAGAACAACCGGACTATACGCACTTTGTTTCCACTAAGACCAAAGCTGTGATTAGATATTTCTCTGTGTTGACTCACCACCCTCCACCCCCGTCTCGCCCACAAAAACCGCAGTGTCATTTCAAAGTTGTTGCAACTAGCTACAAATTATTGTCAAGCACATACGGCTTCCCGAAACTCACTCAGCTACTGAATGATTCATAGAAAATTGTGTCCATTGGTTTGTTTATCTGTATCTCTAGCTCTTTTCCCTATATATATATATATATATATATATATATATATATATATATATACACTAAGCCACTACAAAAAGTGGCTAAGTCGTATATATATAGGCATACAAGAATACATAGTTAAATGAATAATTTAAAAATAGGTCAGATGTCATTTCTGTTTATAATGCTGCGTAAATTAGGTGAACGTCAGAGCATATAATAAAAAGATGAAATTATTGGTATTCATTGTTGTTATATTTAATTTTATACCGTGAGATGAAATATTTTTAACCGTGGTATTATAATACTGATCCCGCAGAAAAAGATAGGCGGATTTAATGGAAATACCACAATTTGAACAGAGACTACAGTAGCAGCAGCCGCAGTTTGCCGTATTTCCTCCAGTACATACAACAGTTAAGTCTTACCCCGCCTCGACAGAACTCTGGACAGATTTTGCACCGACAACTAATTAACTTAGCCCTATATTTTTTATTGTTTTATGTACCTCAAGGAAGTACAAGAGTATTTAAACGGAGTCAAAATTGTGAAACGCTGTGTTTTCAGTTCAAGTTTATACCGTGAAACGGATGTTTCAGGCACCTTCTTTTTCTGTGGTTTGCAGACGTTACCCGTTACGTTTTTATCCGGTTCCAGCAGTGTTTTTAATTTATATCTCGGGGTGTAAAAAGCTCTTGACTACATACTGCAGATTATGTATATGCCCCTTGACTGGTTGCGACAAAAATTCTCTCATTGCCGTCACCTTAGAAATATTTCTCTTTCGTTCATGGAGGAGAGGCTGTTTTACTGACAGATTTAAAATCAACAAGCTAGGTAATAATTTATCTTGCCTATTTGCGAATATATTTGGAGATTTCCAAGGTTCTGTCCTTTCTCATCATTTAATCATTACTTATATTAGTAACTAATATGCTTCATCACCTACCAAACTTGGTAAGTACAGGGATGTGGTTGTATTTTGTCAAGCTATTTCAAATGTGTCTGATTTATTGTTTTATATGATAAACTCATTGCCATTCAAGACTTTTCTCTCCAGTCAGGCGTGTATGTTCACCCTGTCGAGTTCCTCCAACCACAATGAACCCTCCTGCATTTATGGTTAGCCCGTTTGCAGAGTTGTCACCATCAAGTAACCTGGCAATAATTACGGACGGTTCACCCATATCCTGAGAACTATTTTGACAAATTCAGACGTTTATCCTTCCATATCCACAGTTGGAGTCGATTTATTGTCAGTCACTTGTTGCCTTCTGTGTATGTTAATGCGTCTTACCTGTTATTCCCTTTCGATCCTCTGTCATCTTACCCGATTTACTTCAAAAAGATTTCACTGCTTTTCGTTGTGGCTTGGTCATCACCAGCCGCATTTCACATCCTGCCATGGGTTCTCTCTTATTAGCAAACTTTGCGACCGCCAATTAAGTTTTATGAACGATTGCTCAAAAAGTCTTCTCCGATCACATACATCTTCTTTATTCCAGCCTATCTATCGGTTGTTCTAATTCTTCAACTCGATAAATAGCTTTCGACTCGGTTCCATGAGAATTGACTTTTTTAAATAAAAATCACGCCCCATGTTTGGCCTGTATTTTTACTGATAAAGACAAAGGGGCAACTGAGCTCCCGATGAATCGTTTAGGTCGAATGAACACTTTCTCTTCCGCATCCGCCTTTTTTGGGTGTATTCCTCTGTGAAGGAGTTACGAGTTTGGTTTTATTCGCGGAACTATAGGAACTGCTGCTAACAAAAGCCTTTATTACAATCACAGTCAACGAAGGCCGCAGCAGCAGGTTCCGTCAGTCTTAAAAAGCAAATGTGTAATCATTTGGGAAAAACATGCTATACCGAGCTTCTTGACTGGTCAAGCTATTTAGAGAGGTTCATCAGGCGCATTTGAAATACTCCAGATTGAAAATTCCATTCCTTGAAAGAAGTTCCAGTCCACTGAGAGGATGTTTTTAGGAAATCGTGCGTAGCCCAGTAGGGCAAGAACAAGAACAATGGATAAACCTATCGAAACCCACCAGAAACGATATCTGGTGGTGAACGACGCCCATATGTCCCAGGCCGACGCGGTCGGTCCTGATACAGCGCTCAAAGATTGAAAATATCCAGCTTGGATCGTCTATGTCAAGTCAAGTCAAGGAATGGCTTTATACACCCTGAGAGGTGGATATTCAGCAACCACATAACCATAGTGTGTCAAAAAATACGTAAAACACAATAGTATGATACAGCAATTAAAAGGATATGAAAAGGGACAGCAACATCCAAAATGAGTGGCACACCTGGGTGTTCATGAGGGATTTAGTGTAGTGTTTGACGCAGATTTCCCGTCACGAGGTCTTGGTTTGTTAGAAATCTGGCGAGATAAGGAACAACAGACCGCCTGTAAGCTTCAGTGCGAGTCTTTATGAGTTTGTGAGTGGAACGGGTGGATGAGTGAGAAAGGCAGTCGCTAAGAGAGGAATAAAGAGGATGGGAGATATCAGATAAAATCTTATTAGAGAATGTTTGACAGGACTTGAAGTGATTTGTAACCACAAACTCTACTAGATGTTCCCGTGGTATGAGACTACAAACGGAGAGAAATCTGAGGGATCGGGAAATGAGTTTGAGGTCCTTGTTCAAAAGACCAGGGAAGATAACAGGGGACCCATAAAGCCAATGAGGCAAAACGCACGCAAAAACAAAACGCCTTATGAGATGGTTTGGAATGGAAAAGGATTTAAGGCGTAAAACACAAAAAGTGAGCCTCCTGACCTGCAAAAATACGTCAATAACATGGTCAGACCAGGTGAGGTTATGATTAAAAATAACACCCAGGTATTTGACAATCAGTTTTCGTGCCATCTGCTCACTCAGGATAGATAAAGGTGGGCTGGCGTTTGATAATTCATCAAACTTTTGCCCTTTCAGAAGAGAAAAAATTACGTCACTACATTTTTAGGGGTTCATGTAGAGGTTTCTTTGTTGTGACCATTCAACTAATCCAGTCACGTCTTCTTGCAGAGTCGTTTGTAATGATGAGCTGGGGTAGGGCAGTCCAAATATTATATCGTCTGCATACTTGACGAGAAGAGAAGAATTGCTCACAGACATAGAGGATATGTAAACAGAAAATAGAAAAGGAGATCAAATAGCGCCTTGTAGTACCCCTTTTAAGGAGGGCAGCGGTGAAGATGTACGACCGTTGTAACGTGTGAACTGCTGACGGTTGGAGAAATAGTTGGCCAAGAGTTCAATCGTAGAAGGTTGAACTCCGCCCGAAGAGAGGGTATTTAACAAAGTTTGTCGATCAACTGTGTTGAAATCATCCCTGTAGTCAAGAAAACATATGCGTACCGCCTTGATTTTCTTATCCAGGTTAGATAAAACCAAGTGGGCAGCAGCAAGGGCATCCAGAGTACCGCGGGAATAGGTGTATGCAAACTAGTTCGGGTCACCAACATTGAATTGTGTGGACAGGGTCTTAATGAGGAGCCTCTCAAACAACTTCAAGACAACTGAGGTGCAGGCAATGGGACGGAATTTTGAGGATCATTTCTTCGGTACAGGGGTAATAGAGGCTATTCTCCAGCAGTCGGGTATACGTTACTGCGAAATACAATCATTGAAAAGTTCAATCAGTACGGGGGAAAGGAAGCTAGCACGTTCTTTCAGGACAGCGGGTGAGACTCCGTCGGGGCCGCAGGACTTGTGAGGATCTAATGGAGCCAACCCTTGATAAATGTCGACAGTTGCAACGCTGGAGACGGGATCAGTGTTGTTCATTTCATATCCATTAGGCTGAGCAGTGAGAGCGATTCCCCGGTTGATGAAACGTTGATTCAGACTACCTATGGCCACCGCAGCAGATGCGCGGTGTGAGGAGCTGATGCCAGAAATTGGCACGAGGGCTTGCCACGTCTCACGAACACCTTTGTTGTCAAGCCGAGCACGGGCGTATAAAGAGTTTAGCCTTCGAAGTTTAGCCCGGATGGATTTAGAAAGAGAGCGCACCGCATCTCGTTTATGCATTTTGAAGGCACGTTCCTTTCTACGACGGAGTTGTTTGAGGTGTGGGGAAGGGAATCGATCGGGACAAATATATTGTCTCTAGGGTGTACCTGACATCGTATCGAAAGTTTAAATAACTAGTTAGTTGATCACAGAAAACGGAAGGGTTGGGATCGGATTTTTAACATACGTGATAACGCCACCTCCCCGTCGGGAATAAGGAACAGGACGATCGACGCGATAGCTAGCGAATCCATCCAGGTGTATTATCTCATCCTCAATTTCATTGTGGAGCCAACTTTCTTGTAGCATGATCACACCTAGTTGGGCATATTCCCGTTGCTTGATTAAGCTGGTGAGATCGGCCATGTTTCCGATAAGAGATCGAACGTTAGAACTGAGAATGATGGGAACACACAAGCGGGAGATGGTTTGCTTCCGAAGAGCAACTTTCCAACCGGCTCGATGCTTCCTCGGATTTTTTGAAAGCTTTCTGAACGTCCGTTTGCTTTTATTCCGTATAGTCTTCCCAAAAGTGGTTTACGCTGCATATTTGGTCCATTTGATGTAATGCATGAAATCACGAGTGTATCTGATCAAATATGTCATTACTGTAGTAGCACAACAGTTGCCCTGGCAACAAAGGTAAAAGTTCATGCGAGTGATACAAAAGTCAGACACAGTTTTGGTTATGCAGTGAATAATCCGATGATGGAAAAACGGATAGAACGGCCGAAATTCAAGGGCCCCGCCAGAAGGTGAATATGCACAAACACCGTTCGTTCACTCACAGAGATTTTCGCGTCCATTAATAATAAATCCATATATATGTGATTATTCCTTGATTCCTGGGGAGCATCATCATCATTGTACAGTGTAATACAGTGAAGCGAGCTTCGCTGTTCGCTGCCAAACTCATACTGCATACATGATAAGTGAGAATGTGTAAGGAGGATAGGAGTTGGACTTAATTTTAAGGACGGGAAAATAAAGCGAACCTTTATGGTCAACACACAGAGTAAACGATCCAATTGTGCATACATACTATTTCAAGCATTCCGGTCTGATAAAAAGTGACAGCAAGATCGCCATTGCTGTCGATTCGCAGCCATGACCTTCAGTGTCCCCAACCATGCGGTTTCGGAGTCTTTTGAACCCCAACCCGAAAGACGAGAGACACCTACTCTCCCTAATCGCTCGGTGCATTTCTTCATGTCTCGTCTCCACGTCATCTGCTGCCCTCCATATGGCTTTCTCCAGCCTGCAACAGCCACTGCGAGTAAGGCGCGCTGTGGTAGGCGATCGTCGGACATACGCAAAATGTGTCCTAACCAACGGAGCCTATTGAGCTGAATTCGATGCGATAGCGAGTTCTTGTTCGACGCATTCCCAATAACCCGATGACTTACTTCTAGGTTACTAACTCCATCCCAATTGGGCCAGACTACGTAAGCATCGATTGTCGAACAACACTAGGCGATGGATGTCTTCTTCCTGCAAATTCAAGGTCTCACAACCGTAAAGCAGAACTGATCGTACATTGGCGCAGTATACGCGACTTTTCAACCAGTGAAACGTCAAGTCGTTGCTAAAGGTGTTTCAGTCCTGCGTATGCTGCTCGAGCCTTGGAAATGAGGGCGGTTATCTCCTTCGATGCGCTACCGTCGTTGGTCAGGCGGGTACCTAAGTACTAGAAGCAGTCAACTGCAGCCGATTCCTGACCGTCTAGTTTTAGAACGAACTCGGCGACACCCAGTCTTGCAGCATCACTTTGCACTTGAAGGTGCAAAGCACATACCGAACGGATCGACAGAACTTACTAATCTGTCAAGAGCTCTTTGCGCATCCTCCATAGATTCGAACAGGCAAACGATGTCGTCAGCGTACTCTAAATCGCACAGCTTTTCTCCAGCTGCCCATTCAATACCTACATTTTGGAGACCACTTAGTGTGTTCTCCAGTATTTTGTCTATGACGAAATTGAACAGGAATGGCGAACGAGGGCACCCTTGACGAACACCGCTACTAGTTACGAGCGACCTACTCAACTTGCCGTAGACCCTTACGCTACCAGTAGTCTGCGAGTAGAGTGAACTCAGTATGTTCACGTACTTCCTGGGGAGTGCTCATCATTGTTCCGATTCCGAAATGGTCTTCATCTATTATTTGATCTCAATGTTTTTATCCCACTGCCATCACTTCCTCAGGACTTAAACTAACTCTATTTTTAACCACTTGCTGTTTGCTATTAATGTTTCCAATGACCCCTAAATTTTGCGTTCGAACCAACTAGAGGTACTTTCGACGCTATCACTTCACTGATGCACTTTATTTATAAATCTTTAGACGATTTCGAGAAATTCATTCTTTATTCCTGATTATCCTTCCGTTTTCGATTCCGTTTCACGATTTCTTGTTCTCAGAAATTTACTGTCACCACTTTTTGTTATCGTTTAAAGTATATTTCACAGGACGGATTCAAACAACGAAAGCAAACGGTACTGTTTCCGAACATAATTTTGGTGCCTTTCAGGGGGCTGTGCTTTTTCCATACTTATTTTCAATATTCATCAATGATTTACAGTCTATCCCGCCAGCCAAGATTTTGAGATATGCTGATGATGTGGTATTATGTCAAGCTATCTCAAACCAATCTGACAGTTATTTTCTGACAACCCTTCCAAATGACACCAACCAAGCGCCTAAGATTTACAGCTTCTGGACAACGAACCACAGGTGAGTCGTGCCGACCAATCATAAGTCTTACGGTCCAGACAGAAGCTGTGTGACGTCAAGATTACGCGATTGGTGCATACCTATATAACCAATAATTTTTTTTGTACGTGTTATTTAATCCTCTTGATTTCTTTCAATAAACGAATTTCTGCTTCTGCGGCCTTTTCCGCGAGATACCAGCATGCAAGTGCTACAGCGATTCAGTGTTTCCGTTGCATCCGTGACTCTCGATTCCTGCTTCGTTATTCGTGATCTGTGCCTACTTCAAACATTGGAATTCTCGAAACAATCCGGGTTCCAGTGGAATGCTTCAGATGTGTTTTTAGTGTTTCCCGGTCTATGCATCCCATGGAACTCTCAGTCATCCCTTCCGTACGTATTACAAGAACACACCACCAAATACCTAGGAGTTACCAAAGAGAGCAACCTACCAAGGGTCCTCCCATATGTAAGTCTGTGTCGCTTATCATTTCACATACGCAAGCAACGACAATTTAGGGTGGAACGTTCAAAAACATGTCCTCTTGTGTATCAGTCGAGTTGTTCTGTCTCACTTTACTGTTCGCCCGTTATTTTCCCTGGACTACTCAAAAAGGATTTTATTGCTCTTCGTCGCTGTTTGGTAATTATTAACTGTGCTCCCCTTAGTCCCATAAACACCAATCAAAAGATGTTAGAACTTCATCCATAAGATACTTAAGGACCGCGGTCATATTCTACCTGCTTGCCATTTCCACGATCCAACCCGATCCAAGTGTTACTTCTCACCCTCTTGCGTAAACAGTTATCGAAATTCAACAGTACCCTATCTGGCCCATACTGACTGACTAACAGGAAGATCCTAAACGAACTAATTTTAAATTTATAAAGATGATCTTTTGTTTAAGTTTTGTCAGTGACTTTTCCATTTTTTTTATTCCATTGAAATTTAGGCATCGTTGCTTGCACAAGTCATTACAATACAATACAATAGAGTACTGGAGACCTAACTTTTGTCTATCAGGCATGGTGACAACCGGGAATATCCTCAACCTTCACTACACGTATCATCGTCGAATTCCAGTCCTACAGGGTACCCCTTGGGCCGGTGCTATAGCCCTGTTCATTGACAGGGCAACTACTAAATAAAACTGTTATAGTTGAAGTATGCACATATCACCGATTACGAATCATATATTATGAATTATGGACTTCACGGAAGCACTGAACCAAACTGGCACTTGCTCCACAGTATCCCGCGTAACCGAAATGCAAGGAAAAGGCCGCGGAAGTAGCAGTTCGTTTATTGAGAGGAATCAAGTTGGTTAAATAAAATGTACAAAAGAAGTCCCTTGGTTATCTAGGTATCTACCAATCGCGTGCTCGTATTCTTGATGTCGTACAGCCTCTGTTTGGGCCGCACGGCTTCTGATTGGTCGGCTCAGTTGGCCTATGGCTCATTGTCCAGAAGCTGTAACCCGCATGCACCATGCGTCCTCTGGGAAGTTTGACTCATCACAGTTGTCCAGAAACCGTAACGTATCGCTACGAGGTTTGCGTCATACCGTAAGCTAGGACCACCACAAAACTCTACTACACTTCATCATTACTGGTGTGGATATTTTCTATTTTAGTTACACATTTATCCGTTAACCCAAAACACTATTGACTGTGATTATCAAGTATGCTGCTACCAACTATGCACCCCCCTACTAAGATGAATTTGGTGAATGAATCCTATTTTAAGTGTTTGAGCCCCGACGTCCGTCTACCATTATTCAATTTTGCAAAGACTACGACTGTTCTGGACTACAGTGAAAAGATAACCTCTAAGCCTGCTGCACACAAGGTGACTGGGAAGATCGTTCTTAATCGTCCTCGAATGAATTTGAACAAACAGCACCCACTCCATGTCAGTTTACATATAAACTTGTAGGGTTCATTCTGTTTTGTATCCTGATCTCTTCTTCCGGAAATTCCTGTCTGACGCACACAGCTTCCGGCCAAGCTAATAGTGTTCTTTCCTTTCTCTCTCTACTGGAATGAAGCAAACCAATTCTCTATGCATGTGCTATTCAACCATTCTGTAGCACTTCATGGTTCTCTGTTGTCATCTGTTCTGTTTTCTACTTATGCGAGTGATATTCCACTATCCCATTCCCGTGATATTTTTCTCGTGCTGGTAAGCTGTGGTGATCCTAACCTACGAGATGACGCATACCACTGAGTGACACGTTACAGTATGCGGACAATTGTGAGCAATCAAGCTTCCCAGGCGACGTCAGCAAAGCGCGTACGTGTCACAGTTTTTGGACTACAAACCATAGGCCGATTGTACCAAACAATCAGAAGCAGTGCGGCCCAGACAGAAGCTGTATGACGGCAGAAATAATAGCACGCGATTGGCAGAGGCTTGGATGACTTTTGTACATATTTTTTAAATCCTATGATTTCCTCCAATAAACGAACTGCTATTCCTGTGGTCTTTTCCTCGCATCTTCCTTACGTGGGATACTGTCGTGCTAGTACCACTGTGATCCAGTGCTTACTTGTCGTCCGTGATTCGTATTTCGTGACCAGTGCGTACTACAAATATTACACAAACCGTGGATTATTCCCACTGAGAATATCAGCTGGAATGAAGACTTCTGCTG